CAAATCCAGCTAATTACCATATGCATTACCTCATACAGCTATCAATTTTGTGTTGAGAACACTTTCATCTAATCTTAGCTTTTTTCACAAATACAATAGATTATCAATTATAATCACCATATTGTTCAATAGACCTCTTGAACTTATTTTTCTAAACTAAAACTTTGTATCCTCTTACCAACATCTCCCCAATCCCTCGCCAACTACCCCAAACCCTGGTAATCACCATTCTACCCTCTATTTCTATGAGATCATCATTTTTAATCTCCATATATTTGTGAAATCCTAATATTTGTTTTTCTGTGCTTGACCTGCCTCATTTAACATAATGGAAACTATAAAATTACAAATAGATATAATAATCTCACACATGTTAGAATAGCTACTATGGAAAAGACAAAAGATAAAAAGTGTTGGCAAGAATGTGGGAAAAAAGGGAACCCCCTATACACTGTTAATGAAAATGTTAATTAGTACAGCTATTATAGAAAATAGTATGGAGAGTCCTAAAATTTTTAAAATAAAACTACCACATGATCCAGCAATCCCACTACTGACTATAAATAAGTTTTTAGCCAATATACAAGTTTATAATATGTGAGTATATGGTTGATGATAACATTAATGAGCTCCAACAAATTAAAGTATAACACAATATGACAGTACCTGAAAGATATCTTTTCTTGATATCTTATTCCCAAATTTCCATGAAAAGAAAAATTCCCATAGGGAAAATGTGGCACCAAGTTGTACACTTCTTTACATCACATTTATAAACCCAACAAGCAAATCATTTTGAAAATATTCCACATTTATAGAGGAAAATGGCAATTTTCTGATGAGACATTAGAATGAACATTTAAAACACAATACTGCACACAAATTAAAAATGACCAGGATTCACTGTTGCTTAGGGTTACAATCACATCAAAGCCATAAGTGGAACTTAATCAGAGTGAGCAAGAGAGGAGAGTAGAAGAAGATATCAAAGAGGTAAAAGGAAGGACAAAATCATATAGTGCTTTATAAGCTATTGTATGTACCATGGCCTTTATTTTTTTCTTTTCTGCACAGACTTTTTTAAATTAATTAATCTATTTATTCTTAAATTTTATTATATATGACAACAGAATGCATTACAATTTATATTACACATATAGAACACGCTTTTTCATATCTCTGGTTGTACACAAAGTAGAGTCATATCCTTGGTGTCTTCTGACCCAGCTATCCCTCTCCTAGGTCTATACCCAAAGGACTTAAAAACAGCATACTATAGGGACACAGCCACATCAGTGTTTATAGCAGCACAATTCACAATAGCTAAATTGTAGAACCAACATAGGTGCCCTTCAGGAGATGAATGGATAAACAAAATGTGGTATATATACACAATGGAATACTACTCACATTAAAAGAGAATAAAATCATGGCATTTGCAGGTAAATGGATGGAGTTAGAGAAGATAATGCTAAGTGAAATTAGTCAATCCCAAAAATCCAAATGCAGAATGATTTCTCAGATTAAGAATGCTGATCCATAATATGCTGGGGTGGGGATGGGAGGATTAAATAAACTTTTTTAAAATTGTTTTTGTATTGTAGTTAGGACACCATGTCTTTGTTTCATTTTTTATGTGGTGCTAAGGATCGAACCCACTGTACCTCACACACACACATGCTATGCAAGTGCTCTACCACTAAGCTACAGCCCTAGCCCCACAATGGCCTTTCTTACACTAAGTGGAACAAAGAGCCCTGATAAAGATTTAGGAGCCAAGTTATATGATGTTCATGCTTTAAATGAATATTTTTTCTATTGAGATTATATTATAGAGGATCAAAGATGGAGGCAGAGTGACCAGTTAGGAATTGTAGTAATCCTAATAGTCCTACCACTGTTGTAGCAATCCAGATGAGATTTCAAAAAATATGGTACCAATAGAGGTGGTAAGAAATGGTCAGATGTTGTAAGTTCCTTACTTTGAAAGGAGAGACAATGGAATTTCCTAAAAGCCTGAATGTCGAATGTGAGAGAGGAATAAAGGATACCCTGTTTGGGACCTGTGTAGATAGATGGACATACTGTCAACTGTAAGGCAGAAGAATTTTAGCCAGGCCCAGTGGCACACACCTGTAATCCCAGCAGCTCAGGAGGCTGAAACAGGAGGATCTCCAGTTCAAAGCCAGCCTCAGCAACTTATCAAGGCACTAAACAACTCAGTGATACCATTTTCTCTAAATATAATACAAAATAGAGCTGGAGATATGGCTCAGTGGTCAAGAGCTCCTGAGTTCAATCCTCAGTACCCCCCCAAAAATGAGGGGAAGAATTTTAGAGAAGATTTGGAGAGGAATATCAGCAGTTCTGTTTTGGCTATTATTTTGAGAGATCTTTTGAACATCCAAGAGAGATGTTCATTACAAAGTTAGACATATGAGTCTGGAGTTGTGGACTATGGTGGAGAAAAATTGAGAATTATGAGCATACAAATGAAATTCAAAAGACATATAACTGGTTGCTATCATCAAAGATTGAAGATAGAGTAGAGATAGAGAAAAGATGTCCAAGAACTGATCCCTGAGCCAATATTTACAGGTTAAAGACATAAAAAGGGATCATAAAGAAAGACTGAAAAGGAGAAGCCTGAGAGGTAGTAGGAAAACAAATGTGTGTTGAGGGAAAAAATGTGCTTCAAACAGGGAGAGATTGATCAACTGAATCAAATGCTCCTGATGTGTCAATTAAGATGAGAACTAAGAACTTACCATGGGATTTAGCAGCATGAAGATCTCTGTTGACATTATAGTGGCAGTTTTGGTGAAATGGTAGAAGATGAGCATAGTTGGAATGACTTCAGAAGAGAAAGTGAAAAGAGAGGAATTGAAAACAGTGCATATAAGTAAAACTATTGTGAGAAACTTCATTTCAAAGTAAAGTGAATAAATAGGGAGGTAGCTGGCAACAGAGATAGAGGGAATGTTTTATAAGAAGGGACAGCATGTTTGTATGCTGATGGGAATTGTAGAAAAGAGAGGAGAAGGTCACTGAAACATAAAGTAAATTATGAGTAAATAAAAGGGAATGGGATGGAACAAGTAGAAGGACAGAGACATGAAAAGTTCATCTATGATGACAAGAAGCAAGGCAGACTACTTGAGTACAGATCCTAAAAGGTAGGCAGCTGTGGTGGTAAAAGTCTATGGATGTTCTCTTCTGGTTCCTTCAGTTTACTTGCTAAGCAACAAGGGCATCAGGAAAAAATAAAGATGGGGAATAGTTCAAAGGTTTAAGCAGCAAAAATGGGAAATAGTCACCAAGGAGCATAGTTGAGGGAATGGAATAGGTACATATAAAATGATCATCTGAAAACATAAGGGGCTTTGGAAAAGGCATCTCTTTCAGAATTTTTTATATATATTTTTTAGTTGAGGAAGGACACAATACCTTTATTTTATTTTTTTTAAAAGAGAGAGAGAGAGAATTTTTTTAATATTTATTGTTTAGTTTTCGGCAGACACAGCATCTTTGTTTTATTGTATGTGGTGCTGAGGATTGAACCCAGGGCCGCGCGTATGCCAGGAGAGTACGCTACCACTTGAGCCACATCCCCAGCCAAATATTTTATTTATTTTTATGTGGTGCTGAGGAACAAACCCAGTGCCTCACATGTATGAGGCAAGCGCTCTACCCACTCAGCTAAGACCTCAGCCCTCTTTCAGAATTATAAATAGGGCAACACTGGATTAGAATAGGCAAAACCTGGAAGATGGGAGGAAGACCAGTTAAAAGGCCATCTTAGTGGCTACAAAAAACACAAGAGGAAGATTATCTAAACTAGGGCAAGAACAGCTAGAGGACAACTGAGGACACACAGATGTCAGAGTTATTATAAAAGTAGAACCAATGGGATTTGGTAAGCAATTAAGAGTGACTAAGAAAAATGAATGGAGTAGAAAATGGTCCCACAGTGGTGAGCTTAAGACAACTGGAGTATGGCAAGGCCACTGATAAACTCTAATGTTGCAAAAAGTAGTAAACAAAAGGATCAGCAGATTAAAGCTGCAAGAATTATTTTTGAATGAAGAAAGAAGACTTAAAAAGATTAACGTGCTAATAAAGAGTCTTGAGAACTGTTTCTATTTTTGTTTTTTTTCCACCATTTTTTAAAATTAAGATAGGACAACAGAGTGGTAAACTGAGGAACATCTAGGTAATCAGAAAATACTAGCAACTAAAGAAGAATAGGGCTTATTAGATAAAGGAAGGAAATGCTTACAAATGTTATAAAGTTGTTTATATAGAATTTACACTGATAAATGAGACAGAAATTTAAAATAATGAACCATGGATTTGGAGCTCCAGTTCTTCTCTGGTGAGGCTAACCAATGTAATATGGCCCAATGCCTCATTTCTCCCTTGTCCTTCCATTGACTGCTGAATAATCAAATTATTATGTTTATTATCTAATATAAGAAATAATTATGATAATAAACTAGAAAACATAAGAAATATATTTTAAAATATAAGTGGTATACCTTGCCAATAGAACAAACTTGACTGAATTAATTTCTCTTTCCTTTTACTGTTTGTTTTTTGATTTGTTTTGGTTTTCTGTTTTTATTTTTACCCTTTGTTCTTTCAACTCCATTTCCTATACCAACAAGAAACCCTGTGGACTTAAGACTTATTTTGCTTTATGGAAAGAAGCATACAAATCAGTAAACGAAAAATTGACTGATGTGCTGGAAACTAGTAAATACTAGAGGACAAAGGTAAGTCAAACTATCCCTGCTTCTGGGAGCTCACAGTGGAAGAGATAGGCAAGGATGTTTTAGCTCAAAAAACAGATACTTGTGCAAATAGTTCTGTTGTATCAATGAGTTTCTGGTCTGTGCTATACATGATATAAACAGTTTACACAAACACATGTACCTAAAATCCAGTGCTATTCTTGACACACACATTTTAAAACTACAACAAAATTAGGTCTAACTTACCATCATTTTTTCAAAGAGATCCAGTACTTCCTTTTCTGACAAATTCAAAGATCGTTCATCATATAATGGCTGAGCTGCTGGAAACTCACTCATTGCAACTTGGGAATCAATAGGATGTTGAATAAGAGGTTTTTCTTTCTTGACCGTAGATTTTCTAAAACTTGTAATTCGGTCACGCTGCAAACAGAAAAAGATAAAAAGCCCTAAGAAAAAGATCGAGACCCATGAACATAAAGAACTGAAATATCAAAATGGCACTTAGTATAATATGTATTATTATTGTCTCTTGATAAAATGTTATTTTAAGCAGCAAGCTCCAGTTAGAGATTGTACTATTTTGAAACCTTGAAGTAGCTCTTCAACTTTAGAAGTCTGAGGGTGAAAAGTATTCCTCAAAAGTAAAACTTAAGTCTCTTGCCATTTCTATTTTGCACAAGTAGGTTAAAGAAGTCTCAGAGACAAGTGTGACTCCAGGAGGCTGAGGCAGGAGAATCACAAGTACAAGGCCAGCCTCAGCAATTTAGTAAGACTCTGTCTCAAAATTTAAAAAAAAATACAATTTTAAAACAGACTGGTGATGTAGCTCAGTGATAAATTGCCCTTGGGTTCAATCCCCAGTAATCAAAATTCTGTGGTTATTTCAGGAAGAATATGTCTTTAGTGGCAAGTTTAGAACTATGAATAAAAAAGGAAAGAAAGAAAATGAAGAGAACTGTGGGTACTCAATTCTAAGGGAAAATTATGGCAATAATTCATGCAAAAAATGGACTGGGTATGCAACTCAGTGATAGAGCACTTTCCGAGAGAGTGCAAGACTGTGGATTCGAACCCCAGCATCACAAAAAAGAAGTACAAAAGTTGTGTCAAGTATATATCAATAATCTGTCAATGTAGCAGTTGAATAAGCATGGACTCTGAAACCAAACGACCTAGGTCCAAATTCAGACTGCCATTCACTGACTGAATAATCCAGTAAGAGCTTCTTGGTCTCACTATGTCTGTTTCCTCTTAAAAACAGGGATATGTTTTCCTCTTAAAAACAGGATATGACCTACACCACAGTGTTATTGTGAGATTTAAATAATATGCTAAACATGCTTAGCTACTATTTATTATTGTTGTTATTACTATTATTATTATATTCCTCCAACTTTTTATTTCCTAAAACATGGGGCAAAAGCAAGACAAAAATAAAAACACCATTTTTTCCATTTACTGGAACTATAACAAACAGAAATATCTTTTTCCTATAAATACAATTATGAAGAACTCACTATTTTATGGATATTGACTTTGAACCATTGATTCCATGTACAATCTCTAATAATTAGCTTGCTCTTTCAAATAAAGTGAGTTAATTACTTCAATTACATGTAAACAGGCCACTCTATTTTAGACTGCAAAACATTAGACATCAAAAATTAGTAATGTACATAAAACTGAATGTAACTCAGTTTTATTCGGGTTTCTGTTAGGAAGCACATGCATATCATCAGCTCACATTACACAAGCAGACCTGTTAGATATGAGAACGATGCACGTTCACTGCCATGTTGAAAAGGGTCCTTATACATTACCTCAATGATACAAAAAGCATCACAGATGTTATTAACCCAGCTGGTATAAAAGCATGTTGACCTTATTAAAAGAACATGTCTTTCGTTTTATTGATTCAAAGAATACCTTTTTTAAATAAAAGGTGTACTTTGAAAGAAATATGAACAGTTTTAAGCAGCTTATTGAGGATTACAAAAAATGATTTGAGTGCATGGTTGCTTACAAAGAGATTATATAAAGTACAATATTTTAGAGCTGGGAAGAACAAGAAAAATCATCTAGACCAATTCCCTCATTTCACAGGAAAAGTGACTCACCTAAATTCATAAGCCCCTGGTTCCTATTAGTCTTCATCATAACATATAATTTATTCTTTGCATTATCCGGAACTCTATTCTCAATTGTGTTTTAACTCTTTGAGGGAAATTAATTTGGTTTAGATTTGTAGTCTGTCTTCACACAATTCCAGAAAAAAAAATTAAGTAATCCCAAATAAGCTGAGTATATTTATAACACTCAAATGTCAGTAAAAGATATGGTGGACATGAAAGCACTGAAATATGCAATTGACAATAAATTAACATATCTGTCTTCCATTCCTTCATATGACTTAATATTTACTCTTGCAGTATTAGCACCATTGCTAACATGTAAATTTGATCTTTCACTATGTCCTTCATTTTTATCTTGAAAATTTGGCTTTTGATTTCATCTGTGTCCTGGTAAGAAAATCAAGTCAAGCCACACACTTTCATCTCCATAGAGTGCCAACACTATTCTACATAATTTATAGATAGGTAATTTCACACAGAAAAAATGACATTGCTTACAATACCATTTTTTAAAGTTTAGCTATAAAAGGGCATAATTGAATTTTGAGCACATAACTTTTAATAAATTTTACTATGATAGACTCTGCTTAGAAATATTTAAGGTTTTTAAATTTAACAGTACATGTGTAACATATTAAACTTAATTTTTTTTCTATTTCAAATTAATTTCCTCTAATATTAATGCTTAATATATTCACAATTGATTTGGCTATAGGAAAAGGAAACATCTGTGTTTCTCAAAATCCAGACATAAACACAGAATTTAAAAAAAAATTTTGGCTACAGTATATATCAGGTTGACAACAAAATTTTGTTGAAATTTCACACAATTCTTTGTGTTAATGTTCAAAAATGAGAAGTCATTTTATTAACAATTATTCTATTCTATGTAAAGACCCACTTCATCTTATATATATCAATGTTTTAATGTCCACACATATTAATTTCAAAAAACAACATGCATAAGTAATAACATTCTGCTATGACCACCTTACCACATCATCTGCCAAAGTTTTTATTTGAATGTTCTATTAAAACCAAAAAGAAACAAAAAAGAAATACCAGTCAGATAAGAGAAATTCACATATCCAACAATAGTAAGTTAATGGTTCTCATTTTTTATTTTATAAACTATAGTCAAAAAGAAGTAGAAAGTTTAATATATAAGCAATACATCATTTACAAAAGAAAAATAGCAGCTTAGAGATTTAAAATGAAGGTTTGGTTAGGGGAAGTGGTGATCTCTTTGTCTTTAAATATGGATCCCAAGCCACTAATCTGAATCAGATATCAGTGTCCAAATGAGAAAAAACTACAGCAAAATAATATGTCTTGCAAGTTTTTTCAAAGTTTTTCAATGAATAATCATGTTTTAAACATATCTATTTTTTTTAAATGTACACTATCCTAAATGTACACTTATCCTAAATGTCACATTTAATAGTAATAATGAAACAGTTTGGTCTCAGAATTCAGTGTTACATTTGAAGGATACTTAAAGGACACCTTTATAAATATTATAAATAAAACTGAATCTTGTGATCCTGTTAATATATGCCAATTTCTCAAAATCTCCCAAGATCTTTTTTTTGTTGTTATACTTGGAATCGAACCCCAGGTGCTTTACCAACCAGTTATATCCCCAGCTATTTTTGAGATAGGGTCTTGTTAAATTACTTATGGCATTGCTAAGGTTGGCATTAAACATGTGATTCCCTTGTCTCAGTATCCTGAGCCGCTGGGATTACAGGAAAGTACCACCATGCACAACTGGAGTGCACTTATAATAAAAAAAGTCATGCATTGCTTAATGATGGGGATATGTTCTACAAAATGAATGCTGATTTCATCTCGCAAATAATGTACTACACAAATTAACATGGCCATGACATCACAAGGTGATAAAATTTTATGGGACTGGTCCATATGTTGGTCCATTTTAACTGAAATTTTGTTATAGTATTCAGGACTATACATTGAAGCATCAATTAAGAGATGTAATTGGAAAGCATCCGATTTTTAAAAATTGTACATTAGGGGGCCAGGCACAGTGGCACATGTTTATAATCCTAGTGGCTCATAAGGCTAAGGCAGGAGGATCACAGGTTTGATGCCAGCCTCAGCAACTTAGCAAGGCTATAAGCAACCTAGTCAAAATCTATCTCAAAATAAAAAATACAAAGGGGTTGGGATGTGGCTCAGTGGATAAGCACACTTGGGTTCAATATCCAGGACAAAAAAATTAAGCCTTCTGCCCCATTTCATACACTTATTTCTTCAAATTAATATTGATCATGCATGTTCACACCCCTTTTTACTAAGAAAAACAGTCTTCTCAATGGTGAGGAGAATTCCAGTAGGAGTTTTAAGTGAGAATTGTTTGGTCTCAGGATCTCAGGAAACTGTCTTCAAATACCACCAAACCTGTGGCTTTATAAAGTTCAACTTTCCCTAGATCAGCTGGGGCAAATATACTATTATATGGATACCTGTTTTTCTACTTTTGATCTTTTGATTCCCTAGGGAATCTAAACTTCTAACCTGTATACTTTATTTTCATCACAAACCCCAATCTATTGCCATAGAAAAAGAAAAGAGGGGGATTATTTATATGAGAATTGAAGCCATTTTTAAGAAAGATAAAAGCACCATAGGACTCTTTTAGTTTTCTCTTTAGTTTTTCTAGTGAGTTACAGAAAACTTTAATACACAATGAGGAGCTTCATGATTTCTTGTAACACAAAGTCAGAAAAAGAAGTGTCATCATATCAGAATTGCCTGAAGTAACTCTGCTACCATCTGAATGGATGCCTTCTCCACTTGGGACTTTGAGATAGATTATACAGTTCTACAAGTAGATTTTTATTTTGTTTTCTTCCCATCCTTTGGAGTTGTAAACTAAAAAGTATAAACACACCTGTGTCTCCAAAGCAAGAATGTAAATTAAAGGGAAATATGATTTGCTTTAGTCAAATTCCCTAAGGTGCACAAATGTCAGAAATGCTTCAAATCTGTGTCTCAATTGAATACATGTTGACAATTTAATCATGGGAGACAAAGATAAGAAAAAAATCGCTAGCAATTTTTCCACCTGATCCTAAGGGAAGAGACTGAGTCTTCATCTCCGTCCCTCACTATTCTTTTTTGCAATTAACATACTTTGTGTCCACATTAAGCCACACAGTATTGACTACCAAGAGTTGGAGAAAATTTGAGATAATCTGATCTAAACTCTCATTTAAAAAATGGGGGTAAAACCTACATTCCACTTTTCTACATCTAACACTTCCATGTCACCTTGGTGTCTCCCTTCTCCTTCATTCACAACAACCAATCAGCTAGCTGTCCAGTCCCACTCTCATCTTTCTACAGTTCACAAAGATCTGACTCAAGCCACCATCAATTCTTTCTTAGATTCCTGTATTAACCTCCTAACTTATCTTCCTGCTTCCACTTTTGCTTTCCTACAGTTAATTTTGAACACTGCAGACCAAGTGATACTGTGAAATCCAAAGTCAGACCATGTCACTCTTTGGTTCAAAATTCTGCAATGTCTATTTCCCCTCCTAGTACAAATCCCAGTTGTTAAAATGTCCTATGAGGCCCTGTGGATCTGCACACTGCCCAGATCCCTCTGACCTCACCTCCCACTGCAGTCCCTTCATCCATCCAGCTCTAGCCACACAAAGCACCTCACTGTTCCCCAGGCAGGCAATAAGCCACAGGCACTGGCTCTTCCCTCTGCCTGGAAGGCTCTTTTCCATTATTCCCATGACTTACTCCTTCAATCCCTGCTATTCTGCCCATCCTATCTGAAATGGAACCATGGTGCTCTCTCCACACACTCCTGGCACTCCTGAACTGCTTTATCATGCTATTTTTCTTTTTTCCAATAGGACTTAACATGTCAAACAATTTGTAATTTCCTTTATTATTAACTTTTGTCTTTTTCTCACTAAAAATATGAACTCCACAAGGTCAGGGACTTTTCATCTGTCTGGTTTAGGGATATACCCTTAATGCCTAAAGCAGTACTTGGTACGCTGATGTGCACTAAAGATTATAAATGACTATCGTGCTCCCATTCATAAATATTCAATGCCTCTCCATGACCTATAAAGAGTAATCTCCCAAATAAGGCATTTTGCCCAAGGCTACATTCTTCTTCCTTCATGACCCCTGTGCTATATAAAACAAAAATTTAAATCCTTTTCCCAATGCATGCTCCATGAAGTCCTATTTGTACCTCCTGTTTGTACCTCCATGTTCCCTCTGATCTCAAATATTCATATTGTTAGATATGTCTCCATTTCTAGAGCCCTTGAATTTAAAATATAGTTCTTAATAAACCAAATGTGAAAAAAAAATAAACCAAATTTGGAACCCTGATCAAAAATAATACTGGAAGAGGATTGTGCTTTATTTTAAAGATTTTTTTCCTAACACATTTTCAAGAGTGATAGAATACTCCAAGGCACATAGGAAATTATACTCATGTAAAAAATTATCCCAATTACTTGTGATGGAGAACCATAAAAAAACACTCTGCTTTTGATTTCTTGATTTATACATTTCATTCCTCTATAGTATGTGTGTGTATATATATATATATAATATATATATAATTTTCTTTAAAAAAATATATATATATATACACACACACTATATATAATTGTGTACATTTAATAATATTAAATTATGGATATTTTCTCATATATTTCCCTCATGAAAAATGTTTTCATAAATATCATTTTATGAATATAATAACATTATTTAGAACTTTTCTTTGTAACACTTTAGGGAGAAAAGAGACAAACATGGTCTATAAAAGAGGAAAATCTTAAAGCACATATGAAGAGACTGAGTTTCAGAAGTGGTGATTTTGGGCCACTGTGTATTAAAAATGTATTGAAATCACTGTAAAAGTTCTAATTAAATTACCTGCAACAGAAAAGATTTCTGCCACACAATTTTCTTTAAATCTAAGTCAAAAAAAGAAAGGTACAAAAGGACTCCATCATAGCAACAAAAACACCACCAAAAAGAAAGAACTTCAGATAATTGTAAAGAGCTGCTTTTTGACAAGATTAAATCAGTCATTTTTTATGTGAACTGACCTTTGAGACACATGTGAAAAATGGCTGTATTAAAATACATCATCAGGGTTGAGGTGTAGCTCAGTGGTAGAATGCTTGCCTAACATGCATGAGACCCTGGGTTAAATCCTCAGTGTCACATAAAAATAATAAATAAAATATAATTCATTTTTATTTACAATAACAGTCTTCAGGGATAAGCTCTCAAATTTTATCCAAATTTATATAGGTGTATGCATCTCTTCCTCACACCTCATAGAAGTAAACATCATGGATTTTTACTCCTATATACAAACTATAGAGCTACTATGGAGTTAAAAAAATTTACAAGCCAAAAGAAAAAAATGACCCCCAAAATCTTTATTAGAATCACACCCTTGAATTAAAAGCACTGATTAAAGTCATTTTAGTAAGTTTTTATTATGCAAATCTAATGATAATAGTCATTACAACAAGGGCAGATTGCACCAATAAGTATAGTGACCATATATTTTCATTAAAATCAACTCTGGAAAAGCAATCAGATTGTGCATTAGTCAAACAATCAGAGTTTATTAAACTTCACTTATGATCAGCTATATTAAATATAACAGTACAGTATTATGTGAGTATTGTATGATTATAAAAGTATCACTCTAGAGCCTCAACCCCTTAAGAATAAGAGAAATGGCTGACTTACTTATAAACTCTAATGCTGTAGTTCTTATTGCAATGTGAGAGATCATTATTCCAAGAAAATTAAGTTTTAATTTTCTCAATCAGCCAGAAATGAACAAAAACAGCAAGATGTAAAGATTCAACTCTCTTATGGCTAATGTTACATGCTAATACAATGTTTTATAAACATTGTGCAATTACTCTAGTACCACAGAAATTGGACAAGTAAATTGCATATAATTCAAAAGTCTCATCACCAACTCAAAAACTTAGTC